GCACAGCTTAGCCGGAGTCTAGTACTGGGGGTCTCGGGAGTAGCCTGGTGGCACAGCTTAGCCGGGGTCTAGTACTGGGGGTCTTGGGAGTAGCGTGGTGGCACAGCTTAGCCGAAGCACCTGTCCAAACTGAAACTGCTTTTCTCTCCCCAGGAACCCCTTCGCCAACGTCCATCTGAAGCCGACAGTGACCAACGACAGATCAGCCCCTCTGCTCAGCTGACGGGCTCCTACGTGTCACCACTGCGTCCACCACCCACGGCACCCAGGGCAACCGCAGTGTGCTCCTGTCCAGAGAAGACAGCCTTACCCCACCCCCAGACAGTGCTTCACGTCAGCCCGGCCTGGGCTGGATCCCAGGTATTCCTGGGGAGGAGGCTGCCTCAGGAGGCCAAGCCTGCCGGCCACAGATGTGCCCCAACAGAGGGCCAGCACTTAGGGGGCAGGCATCTCTGACCCCAACTGTGGAACCTTGAGGGCCTCCAAGCACAGAAGAGGACACTCAGTCAGCCGTAGCTGGAAGGGGGCCCATTCCCATTATGGTTTTTTTTTTATTTTTAATTTTTTAGCTCACATGTGTGTCTGGTCAATAAACATGTACCCACCTGTTGCAGTGTGTGGTTCTGTTAGCCTGGGAGCATGGACAGGAGCAGGGCGGGGCACACCTGCACCCTTATAAGGGTAATTTATCATGAGCACAGCTGTTCCGCTAGAGGAGCCGAGCCCAGCCGAGCCCAGCTCCCCGCTGCCTCTCCACTTCAGTTAAAACGCAGGCCATTATGAGACTGCATCAGATCTTTGTCTGCAGCAGTGCGGTGAACTGAGTCACTGGCCGGAGCTCTAGGGTGCAGAGAAGACCCAGGCGGGACCTCTGGAGCCGCCTACTCCTCATGGGCACATGGGCTAGTCCACCGACAGCAGAGTGAGGAGTGGGGAGTCCAGTCCCCTGCCCCCCACTCCACCACTGCTGCCTGAGGACAGGCTAGGGTGGGCAGAGGGCTACTCTGCAAGGTACCCGTTCATCTGACCTAAAAGCCTTCTGGAGGGACAGGAGAGGGCTGAAGGGGCAGAAGAACAGAGATGACCGCTGGGTTCCCATCTGCCACCCCCCTGGGGGTGTTCGCTACAGACCCGGAAAGAAAACACTGAGCAAAAAGGCTGTTTTTTTCTTAGCTTGGTTTCTCTTAAAAAACAAGGAACAAGAAAATCATTGCACCAGCATCCTAAGCCTCAAACTAAAAATAACAAAAACAAAACACATTGCCCCCACCCCCAAAGCGACGATATACTTTACATGTCTTTGGCAACAATAACTTAGAATCACCCCCATCTCCATTCACTCCAGCAAATTACAAAAAATATTCCCTGTGCTGCCCACCCTAGCCCTGTTTTCTCCCAGCCCTGCCTGCAGGCAGGAGCCCCACAGTGGCTGTAGGGTACACCCTATTCTCCTCTGGCCAGGGTATAGGGCAGGGTTCTGCTCTGTGAGGGAGAGTGCCCACACTACCCTGTAGAGGGCATCTCTGGGGTGGTCTGGCTGTAGCCTGGAAGCCTCAGCTAAGCAGCAGGACCTAGGCCAGAACATCCAGACAGCCCCTGTGGGGACGGGCTTCTGCAGACGAAGTGAAGGGGAGCCAGCCACAGACTCTGAGATAAGGGCTTGGAGCCCAGGGGTCCGACCTTGCTCTGAGCAAATCTAGACCCAAGTAAGAAAGGTGGGGGACCCAAAAGGGACCTGCAGGCTTAAAGCCTTGAAACCTGGCCAAGTGTCCTTTGAACACAAGGCAGGATGTAGCCAACAGGGCATGCAGGCCCTTGAATTGCATGGTCCTGGCCAGAGGCCAGTTCACCACCAATAGCCATATAGGAAGAGTGGCTACAGGGTGGTGATTGGGGGGTGTCTGCCCAGGAGTGCAGAGTCACCTAGGGGTCAGGGGGGCCCTTCTTGAGTGTGTATTATATGCTTACGGACACCCACAAGCCCTCGGGCTGCAGGTATGTCCAGGGGCTAGCAGCAAACCCCGGTGTCCACTCAGGACATTCTCCCATCGGGCAGCACAGTAGGCCCACGGCCCCACACGTCCAGGGCTAGATAGAGGCCTCTCATTCACCTGCTTCTCCAGGGAGCTGTGGGGGTGTCGGTGGTCCCCACTCACTTCCAGTCACCGTCCTTGCTGCTGCCTGGACAGGATGGCAGGGGCCCCAGTGATGCCAGCCTCCGAAGGGCGAAACTACCCGGGTCTCAGGCCTCTGTGCATCGGCCCCCAGCACTTGCTGCTGGGCCTGGTAAAGGGGGCGCTGTGTGAGTACGTGAGGCCATAACCAGACAGGTTCTCCCACCCCTGCAACCACCTGGCTCACCAACAGGCCTGTCCAATGTGGTGGGCCTGTGGGTGGGCGGGAGATGGACCCATTTCTCTTCCCCATGTCTCCCTGATCCAGGGATGCTTAGCAATGCTTAGCAAATGCCCTCCGAATCCTTGAACAAAGGGAACTGAGGCCCAAACAGGGCATGGTCACTGTCATGTAGTCACCTCCCTGTGCCAGGGATGAGGGTGACAGGTCCTTCTCTCAAGGCTCCTACCACAGCCACGGCAACTGGGGAAGAGGTGTGCAGGGCAGGCACGGGGGAGGGGGGAGAGTAGGTAAAAGAGCTTGTTAAACCTGGCAGAGAGGAGCCTACCCTGGTGTGGGCAGTGGAGGGGGCTCACGACTGGACAGTGTGGGCTATGGCACCACCACTTGGGTGTCCGATAGGGACACCTAGCAAGAACCTCAAACCAGAGGTAAGCCAGTAGATTAGTGACCACCATGCTGGGATTGTTCTAACAAGTTGTGGGAGGCCAGGGTGGGGCTGAGAAGAGCAGAACAAGTGTTCAGTGCACAGCAGCCCGCTGTTGAGGGTAGACTGGGCGGACGGTGGGCAGCCCGCTGTGGAGAGTAGACTGGGCGGACGGTGGGCAGCCCGCTGTGGAGGGTAGACTGGGCAGAGGGTGGGCAGCCCGCTGTGGAGGGTAGACTGGGCGGACGGTGGGCAGCCCGCTGTGGAGGGTAGACTGGGCGGACGGTGGGCAGCCCGCTGTGGAGGGTAGACTGGGCAGACGGTGGGCAGCCCACTGTGGAAGGTAGACTGGGCGGACGGTGGGCAGCCCTCTGTGGAGGGTAGACTGGGCAGAGGGTGGGCAGCCCGCTGTGGAGGGTAGACTGGGCAGAGGGTGGGCAGCCCGCTGTGGAAGGTTGACTGGGCGGACGGTGGGCAGCCCGCTGTGGAGAGTAGACTGGGCGGAGGGTGGGCAGGACCCAGGAGACAGAAGGTCAAGTGCACCTGGACACAGTGTCTGCCCAAAGGCCAGGAACCAAACACCGTTAAGAGGGCAATGTCCAGCATACCAGGGGCCACCAAATCTCCCCCTGCTGATGCCCCTTATGGATGCCTAACCACAGTGTCCCTCTGTTCCACCTCAGCCCCACCACACTCACCTCCCACCGACTGGGCCTCCGAGTCGGATACGTGAGTAATGGAGAAACGGGAGGCAGGCGTGGGAGACACGGTGAACCGTGAGAAGGGCGCAGCTGGCGTGGTGGGCGTGGCCAGGACAGGGTCTACAGGGTCCAGTGCAGTCACCAAAGCAGCCTTGCCAGGCACCAGTGGGAACTCATCATCCCATTCGAACCTACTGCCTGCAAGCCAGGCCCCAGAGTCACTTTCCTTACGTCACCTCCCAGCCCCCACTTCAGGTGATATCACATTCTGAACCCAGCCCTCGCGTGACAGTGATGTCACCATCTGGCCCCCAACACCTGCTCACCCTGTTCAGGAGTGGAGCTGTCGGGCAAGTGGTCAGCCCGCCGCGGCAGGCCCGGGGCACTGGGTGAGCTGGGGCTACCCTCCGGGAACGTGGGGAGTGATTCCTTCATGTTGGGGAAGGGCTCCCCAGTCTCTCGGGTGGGGCTCTCCTGGAGGGGCAGAGCACTGTGTGACTTGGGCTGCCCACCCTCTCCCAGCCCCGTGCATACCCGCGGCAAGAGCCCACCTGGTCGAAGAGGTAGACCGTGACGTCATCAAAGAAGGACACGGCCTTCTTCTTGCGCTCCAGGTCCTCGCAGAAGGCCTCAGACAGGAGGCTGGGCATCTTCAGCAAGCTGCGCAGATTGCGAGCGCTCTGACTCTCGGCCACAACCACAGGCACTGCGGGCGGCTCCTCCTCACTGTCCTCGCTGGGCTCCTGGATGCTGTAGCATCGAAGCTCCTCTTCGGATTCGTCACTGTCCTCACTGCCCTCCTCTTCGTCCTCTGGCTGGCCCTCCAAAGCCCCTGGGCGGCCAGGCAGGGCCAGGCAGAGTGGGGATCTGGGCGCGCTAGGGCTTCCCATCCTCCCCAGCGGGGCTGGTCCCGACAGCTGTCCCGGGGGGTCCCGGGACTCCACGCCATTGCCTTCTGAGCTCAGTGGGACCGAGGCCAGCATGAAGCCTTTAGAATGACTAGAGCTCGGTCCAGGCTGCCCCTCAGCTGGGCCTTGAGCCCCAAGAGGCTCTGACCTGGGGCCATCCGGCAAGGACAACTCCGGCTGCTGTGGTGGGGGCAGCACCTCCCTGGGGTTAGTATCTGGGGCCTCCCCGGGCACCTCAGGCCCGGGAAAAGCCTGCCGAGACTGATGTCCTGAACTAGGTGGGCTCTTTAGGTCTTGCTCCTTTTGGGAGTCCTGGACCCCACCGCACTTCTCAGGGCCAAAGGTGGGTTCAGACTCAGCATCCAGGTCCGAGAAGTAGGCAGAGTCTCGGTAGGGGTTCTTCTTGCAGAGGCCGCCAAGGGAGACAGAGAGCAAAGTCTCGGGCCCTGGGCTCTCACCCTCTGAGGCTAGTTCCCCAAAGGCCTCAGGCTCGCTCGCCTCATGGGCCTCTTTGAGCACAAACTCTGGAGACCCATAGTTCTCTGTGTCATAACCACTGTCCGCGGCACGGGGCTGCCCGGCATGGGGACAAGCAGCCAATGGGCTCGAGACCTCACAGCCACCATCGCTGGCTGAGGACGGGATGTCCAGAGAGTCCAGCGAATCAGGGGTCCCCACCTGCTTCTGCAGACAGCGCAAGGCTGGTACTATGCCTGGCTTCTCGGCGTGAAGGCCATCACTGGACAAGTCGGTGAAGACTCCCGACGTAGCCTCGGTAGTGTCCTCATCCTCACTGCTGGGTGCCTCCTGCCCCAGAGAACTGCTGCAGCTGTCCAGAGTGAGGGCTGGCTTAGGGACAGTCACCCAGCTGCCAGCAGCGGGTGTGGGAGAGGCAGGCAGGATGTCGGGAGCACTCGCCTCCTCCGAAGGAAGTGAGGCCCCTTCGCGAGATGGGGAGGGGACAGAAGGAAGGGATGGCTGGGATTCAGCAGAGCCCTCGGCCTCCTGGGCAAGTTTGGGTTCCACCTGGGGGCTCTCACCCCCACCTACAGCTGCTTCTGTCCAGGGGCGTGTGGCCAGACAAGCAGCAGGTGCCAGGCCTTTGGCGGGACACAGAGGGAGCAGGCTGAAGCAGCGGCTTGGCTCCTGACCGGGAGAGGCTGCTACCACAAGCCCAGGCAGAAATTCTCTGGGATCCTCCTGGGACAGAGGGTGGCCCAGCTCAGGGGAGGCCCGTGGGGTCTGCTCTAGGCTGGAACAGTCATCTCTGTAGCTGTCTGTGAAGCTGCTCACATAGCCGGGATCCCAAGATTCTGGGTCTCGGCTGCCGCTGTTATTGTTGGCTGACACATTAGAGCTCCAGTGTCCGCGGTGAGCAGCCCTCCCTGCCTTCTCCTCCTCCAGCTCCTCGTCGCTGGGGGATGGCTGGGCCTCAGGACTCCCAGAGGGAGAGGCACTCAGTGGGTCATCAAAGAAGGGTGGGCAGAAGGTAGCCACACCCCAGTCTATGTCCTCAGCTGGCAACATCGGGGTCCCAGGAGAGGGTGAGCGTGAGGGGCCGGGCGGTTCTTGCCTCCTACACGAATGGTGGTCACAGGAGCCCCACAAGCCCTCAGAGGGAGGTGCATGGCCCAGCAGAGGCTCCATGACGAGAGAAGTGGCGGTGCTGTCCTCTGAGTTGTTATCCTGGTCCGTGCCAGCTTCGGGGCTGGGAGCACAGCCGGCACAGTCCGGGTCATGGCCAGCAGCAGGTACTGCCCCCTCTAGGCGGATGAAGTACTCGCTACCCACTGAGGGGCTGTGGGCGCTGAGCACTGGCACCACTCCCGGGGGTGAGCTGTCGGGCGCACACAGCTCCTGCAGGCGCGCCGCGGAGTCTGGGCTCGACACGCCCCCTGGAGGTGGGAACGCCTCAGCGCCACAGCCGGCCTCCCACTTGTACTCGAAGTTGAGGCCGTGGCTCGTCTCGGTTACTGTCAGCACGTCGTCGCCGTCCACGTGGAAGCCGTCACTGGTGAATTGCTCCAGCAGAGGGAAAGACGAGGCGGCGGCGAGCTCAGCCGCGGCAGCTGCCGGGCCCGTGGAACCCGACCCCAGGCCCGTGCTGCCGCTGGGCCGCAGGGAGCGCCAGCGCCGCTCAAACTCCTCCTCCAACTCCGTGGTGCCCTTGGCGCACAAGTAAGACAGCAGCAGGTGAACCTCTTCAGCTGTGGGCCTCTGCTCCGGCTGCAGCCAGCAGAACTGCATCACTTCGTACCTGCCGGGAGGCCTTCATGGGTGGCCCTGGCCACATCCACGGGCACGCTGGCCAGAAGTATAACCTGCCCTCCAGGGATACTCAGGTCCCCCATGCTCGGGGTGCTTTGGGGGCAGTTAAGGCGATCTCCCAAGGCGGACCTAGCAGCCCGGGAAGGGGTCTGGGGTGCGGTATCTCCCTGCCTGTTTAGCCTGCAGGGACCCAGAAGCCATGGAGAGGTGGACCAACCAGCCCCAAGCTGAAGCCCCTCGGTCCTGCCTGTTCAGGGGGGTGGGGTCCTCACCAGCGATCAGATAGAGTCAGCTGCAGCTGGGGCTTGGGCAGCTTAAGCTGCTGCTCTCGGACGGCGTAAGCCAGCACCTGCCGGTCCGAGTGCTGGGGATACGGCTGCGCACCCAACTCGAAGAGCTCCCAGATGGTCACACCCAGGGACCTGCAAGGGCAGCCACAGTAGGCCAGGCTGAGCGCGGCTGCACAGGATCCCCTCTCCAGGACGGGAGCCCATTGTGCCGCAGCCACCCCTCTCTAGGGGCACAGGTGCAAGTTAAGGCCCCGTATCCCGTAAGGACACATGGCCTACGACAGTAGCTCATGGTGGGTCTCTAACCTAACATGCGCCTTGGCCCCGGTATCGGTGAGTGTCTGTTGGTCCTGTCTTGAAGGCCCCACATCCTTGACTGCCCCAGCGGTCCCTCTGCCAATGCAGGGACCCCAGGAACCCACCAACAGTAGTAGTCCCTGAGTAACCTCATGAGGCCACATGGTGGCAGGCGTGAGTACGCTTTCCCTGGGTGCCAGCCTGTCCCTAGCCAGAGAAGGAAGGGGGAGTGTTGAAGCAGGGGCCAGAGCATCCCCACCAGAGCTGCTGACGGTGGTATCCGGGCAGGCGGCATCCCAGGGCCCTCCCAGCAGCCAGGCCCGCACTCACCACACATTGCTGGCCTTGGTCTGGTCGACCACCAGCAGGTTGCCGTGCACCTCGTCCACCAGCTCTGGCGCAGTCCAGCGCAGCGGCACCCACAGCTGGTCAGCAGTCACGAGGTAGTCTTCCTGCACCGCCCAGGGACAGGGACGGGATGGGGGTTAACTCTGCTCGGCGGCCACCCCTGCTCGCAGGCTCCACCTGCCCTCACTTACCCGGTATTTGCAGTGTGACAAACCATAGTCGCCGACCTTCACCGTCAGGTCGGCCGTTAGCAGGCAGTTCCTCAGGGCCAGGTCACTGCAGGGTGGGAGGCAATGTCAGCAAAGCGTGCCGGCCTGGGGGTGTCCAGCACTGTGGGTCCTTTACCCACAGCTGTGTGATTGGCTCCGGACAGGAAGGGATGTCTGAGGGGCCACCGGCTTGTGCTCAAGTTCTGACTCCATAACCCGCACTGGCTATTTTGAAAGGCCTGCGTGGGCGGCACTTTGAATGTGGCAAACACATCATGAAAATATAATGTTCGAAGACGCTCGAGGATCCCCAGAATCCTCTAGTGTTGGGATCTGACCAACACTAGAACTCAGCTCCTTCTACCCTTTTCTGGTTCTGTGTGTCTGGAGTGCCCTTCCAGGACCACCACCCTTCCAACCCCACTACACCATCACCCAAATCCTCAGGAGGTTAGAATTCACAGGGAACCCGAGGCCTAGAGTGTCGCAGCGGGTCCTGCCAACGGTCAGAGCCCATGTTCTAGAGTGTAGGCCTGCCCTGCTACACGGAGCTGGAACTCAGGTCTAGAACAGGCTAGACCATAAAGCAGCAGCCCAGGACTTCCTCCAACTCGGTGGCAAGCCTGGGATGCCAGCTTTTATCCTCCTGCTGGACAGGAGGCCATGTGAGTGTTCAGGGCACAGGAGAACAGAATGGTATGGGATGTGCCTGCCTCTGCCATACTGTTGCAATGCAGAGGATCTCTGGATGAAGATGGAGCCATTCTGGCCTGCCTCGACCCCAGGAGGACTATGCCAGGGGACAGCTGCAGGGAGGGTGGGGAAGCCTGGGTCCCTGCGTTTGGACGGGCCACTGGGGCTAGACAGGAGGTGGGGCAGGGGTGGGGCAGGGGCGGGACATGGCGCGGGGCAGGAGACAGAGGCGGGGCTGGGCCGGGGAGTAGGCGGGGCGGGGTGAGGGCGGGGCAGGAGGCTGGCAGCTGCCCTCTTCAACAAAATCACTGATGCTGGAGTCAGCTGAGTCATCACTCAGCACCAGGATATTGTTGGGGAGGACGGCCTGTGCAGCGTCGGGGCTGGCAGGGCCACTTGTCCATCGCCACTTCTTCCAGCACGTGTCCCCGGCTCATGGGAGGCTGGGCATCCTGGCCAGAGGCAGGGCAGAGCCACCCTCCCACTGCAGGGCCGGCCCAGCCACTCCCTTTACACGGTAAAGGGAACCGGGAACCGGCGGGGGCTGAGTGTGAGGCCCAAGTGTGGCTGACCTTGATATTAGACAATAGGGATTCCTTCATTTAATTGTCTACAAAGTTTCAAACTTCAGGCTTTGCTATTGTTACTTATTTGTTTTGAGGCAGGGTCTTTCCTACTCAGCCCTGGCTGTCCTGAAACGCAATCTGTGGATCAGACTGGACTGAAACTCATAGAGATCCGCCTACCTCTGCCTCCGGAGGGCTGGGATTAAAAGTATGAGTCACCACACCCAGCTAGTTTTCACAATTTTAAGAATTATAAAAGTCCTTGCAGAATGGCTATTGGATGTTATGTAGATGAACTCTGTTCATGAGGCCTGAAAAGTGGGATCACCATATAACTTTCTTGTACAGAGGTATTCTGTCTGAGGGTCAAGGCACTGGGGGATCAGGGCTTGGTGACCATGGTCTGTGTAGTCTCACTAGCCCTCACCTGTGTACGTAATTGTGACGATGTAGATGCAAGACCCCACAGGCCACCTCACACGCCATGCGCTGCAAGGTCAGGGGGTCGGGCGCCATGGACTCTGCCACCCGGCAGCTCCGTAGATAACCTTTGAGGTCCCCCTGCCGAGAAAGCACACAGTGACATGCTAGCGGTCGCCACCAGTACACCGCAACCCACCCCTGAGAGAACCTGGGTCTGGTGGCCTAAGCTGGCATCCCGAGCACTCACAGCCGTTTCGGCAGAGCCTGTCCCAACTCTGCCACAGCGGCCTTGAGACGGCAGACTCAGCTTGCATCAAAACTGCACATAAAGGGACCCAAGGGCAAGGAGAAGACCCAGGGCCCAAGGGCAAAGAGAAAACCCAGAACTCAGACTCTACCCCAGGATCTGTGAGAGCCCAGTGGCCAGCTCTCATGCTAACTGCCCAAGCCCCGACAGGGTTGCCCCTGCTGCAGCTGGCTCGCCCTCGCTAAGTAGGCCTCCTCTGAGAGAGCACAGGGCTGGAGCTACCAGGCAGAGCACTTTGACAGAACGGGAGAGGAGCCCTGCTCAAAAAGGCCTCCCACTTCCCCTCAGGACAACTGGTTAGCACGGGACCTGGAGAGCCAATGCTCCCTCACACGGACTGCCACTCACCAGTGGACAGAACTCCATAACCAGCAGGTAGGGGGTCACCTCAGCACACTGGGCCAGACACTGAAGCAGATTGCCATGCTGCAGGGCCCTGGAAGAGCCCAGGCATCCGAGTTAGAAGGCAGGAGGGGGCACAGCCAGGCCCCAGCACAGCCTTCCCCTTCCCACGACCTCCCGGTTCTCCCGCTGTGCTGGTTCCCCACACACACCACACCACCCACCTGTAGGGCTGGGCCTCCTCCAGGAACTGCATCTGCTCCTGCACACTGGCGCTGGCCTTCAGCTCCTTCACCACCACCTGCGTGCCGCTGACGCCCGAGTGGACCTCCCCCAAGAACACCTGCCAGATGGGACCGGCATCACCGGGGCCCCTTCCGGCCTCCATAGGAAAGGCCATTCGGCTCCTAGTGCCTCGGATGCTAGCCCAGCCCAGGTCCACCTCAAGTCTCCCACTTTTCCCACTCTCTGGGGTTCACAGTGAGGAAGGAGTACTCGGGTGCACAATCCAGTCAGGGGTGTGTGTGTGTGAGAAAGAGCCCCTCCCCAGGGGACTCCCAGGAGAAGCAAGCCCACACCATGCTCTTCCCACCACCCTGAGGTATGCTTACCTTCCCAAACCAGCCGTGGCCAATCTCCTTTAGGTACAGGAGGCTGTGCCGGCCCAGGTCCGTGGACTTGAGGAGCTGCACTATATTAGAATGGGAGACTCAGGAACTACTTAGTCGCTGCTACCCCTCCTTACCAGGCTGTCGGGAGCCCCGGGAACTACCCAAGCCCCCAGTTAGGGAGGCTCCGCTAACTTGGAGGCTGCCTTTGCAGGCTGCCATCGAGGGCCCGGCAGTGGTTGCTATGAGCAGAGTCATAGATCTCAATCCGCATCCAGGCATATTTCTGACCAAGCCCAGGTCAGAGCCACCGGGATAGGACAAGCCCAGAACGGCAGGGTCTGGAAGGCAGTTTTGGATGAGGCGAGAAACTGGTACTGAGGCCCGAGAAGACACCAGAGTGGCCCACCCCCCACCCCTGCCACAGGCTGGCATCCAAACACCAGCCACACCAAAGGCGCCTTTGTTGGGGGCTGCTTGGCACAGCCCTGTACGGGACACACTGGGCCCATTCTCCCTGCAGACCAGGCTGAGTGAAGTCAGTGGAGAAGAAGGGTCAGTGTGGGCAGCAAGGAAAGGGCCAGGGCTCATTGTACCCACTCATGCCCCCTCAGATTCCCTGAATTCTGCTCCCACGCTGATAGCCCAGAAGGCCAACACTGGAGCTGCTGGGAGGACCCAAGGGAAGGGGGCAGCCCTCAGGGACATTCCTCAGGGAATGTCGGCTTCATGCCCAGTTCATGGGAGAGTCTCACTGGGCCCTGTGTCCTAGGACTAATGCATTGACCCCAGTCTGTCTGGATGCCTGCCTTCTACCCTGGGGCTCTCTAGGACCTTGGTTATTCCAGGGCAGGTTCAGGGTCCTGACAATGGATACCAGGACAACCACGGGGGCAGAAGAATGTTTGCGTGTTAGGAGCTAGAAGCAGGGGTGAAGGCTCAGGTGACCTCACCCATCCTCACTCTAACCTTCTCCCAACTTGAGAGAAGATGCCCCCCAAAAAACCACAAAGCTGAACAATGGAGAAAGCAAGACCTCCCCTGGGCCCCTGTCCACCCCTGTCCTCTCTCTCCCAGGAGTGGGCCAGCTAGGACCTGTGGGGTCTCTCCAGGCCCAGTCCAGGGGTGGCAATACTTCATGCCAGCCCCTGGCTCCCCACTCACTCCAGTTAGGTGACACCCAAGGCCTCTGGGAAGGTCCAGGCCCCTGTGTGGCCAAGTCTGCTTGCCTCTTGTGAAGTGCTAGGGATAGCTGTGGGCCTCTGAATCAGCAGATAAATGTGTTCAGGACCTCCGTACCTGGATCCTGTCTGACTTTTGAGCTCTCCCCCGTGAAATTCAATGGGCCACCGAGCATGCAGCGTTGGGCCAGGCTGGTGGCTGGAGGGCCTAAGTCTCCGTTGGCTCAAACAGGTGCTAAGATCCCTAGCCCTTGATGGAGGCTGGGCCCCTGATGGAAAGAATCTGGTGGGGCTGGCCCAGGGTGGAAGTGGGGAGAGCGACCGCTTGTCACACACAGTAATGAGACCTTGGGGCCAGCAGCACTCTCTGCTTAAATCCCACTTCAGATTCCCCGTAGCCACCAGAGAGCTGACTACTGTAGAGGTAGACATAGTCCCAAGGGACCCCCGCTTGACCAGGGCAGAACTGGGGTTCTAAAACTTGGCCATTTACCTGTTACTTCTAGAGCTTGGAGGAGGGAGGGGCCAGCTTAGGGGGAGAGGCAGGCAGAGGGCAAAGGAGCCGTAGGATGGGGCCATGCCTGCACTAGCCCTCTAGGTGGGACCAGACCCCTCCTGTTGCTCATATGGCCTTTGCTGTGTGGGCAGTTCCAACAGCAGAGCAAAGCAAATAATCCCAGAACCAGAGTGCTGGGCCACCTGCCCCCAGTTACCACCCCCTCACATAGCAGTCCCTTAGGTGGAGAAATGACAGGCAGAAGGCTACTCTCAAGCCTGCTGACAGCTGGCCTCCAGATCCAGAAGGGGGTTCATGCACCTTCTAACACAGCCCCACCTGAGATGTAGCCAAGGAGGCCTCCACCGCATAGGCCCCTTGTGTCCCCATCCCCCACTGTATTCGCTGCCAGAACCAAGTTCTCAGGCTTCCACCGTCTGCCGACTGCAAGACACAATGGAGGGAGGAAGACAGGTCCTCTTACCTGAGCGACCCGGCTGCTTGGCCATGGGCAAGGAGACCTCCGTGAGGGGCAGGACATACACATCCGGGCCGTTCTGCGCAGCTGCAGCCGGGGAGCCCTGCTCCGAGAAGTCGGCCACATACTCGTCCCCCTCAGCATTCTCAAACTCCTGCAGGTTGGGCCGGCACAGGTGGGCGATCAGGCGCCACAAAGGGTCAGGGGCGGGGGGACAGGGTGTAAAAGGCTCATTTCTGGGAGCTCGACAGGACTAACACAGAGCTAGGGCGTGTGCGCTTCTGTCTGCTGGCCTCTGCAACACCTGTTCTTAGACCCTGATTCTTCCTGGGACACCAACCCAGCAGGGGCCAGAGGCCCTCGGTCTCAGGTGGGGCTGTCGACCCAGGCTGAGTCCTGCCTGGGGGAAGGGCTAGAGACAGGGTTCAAGGCACAGAAGCAGTGCAACCCTTCATGGACCACATCAGTGGTCCCCACATGGCTTGGAGCAGATCCAGAGGTTCTTTTGCTCATCCCTGGGACAAGCAACTAAAGCTCCCATCCCTAGCTGTTACAGGGAGCAAGGCACCCAGGGACATGTTCGCCATCCCTGTTTCTACTACCTGCCTCTAGGCAGGGGTGTACCCTCAGCCCACTGTACCACCCTTACCACCACCAGTGCCCCAGACCCCCTAAAAGCCCGCTGTTGGTACCCCTGGAGGCCACTCTTAGGACAGGCTGCTATTCTGAAGAGTAGAGATCACCCCACCCCCACTCCCACTGTATCTGGAGCACCGTCCAAACAAGGTTAGTCTAGGATGGGCCGCAGCCTAGTTTCCAGCAGGGACAGGATTAGTGGCCGAGCACTTGCCGCACTTGCCGAGAGAACCACAAACAAACAAAACAAAAGCCAAAACAGGGACAGAGCGGAACCAGGCCAGCCTGTCCTCGGCACTGGGCACTCCTATCCGCACCCCCTGCCCAGGTGGAGAATGGAGGATCTGAGGGTTGAGGGCCGGGCACTGACTAGAGTCTGAACCCACTCCAGGTCACATATCTGTGGACAGGCAGTCAAACACACCCTGGGGACCTCTTCTTTTTCTAGGTCATTTGTCTTGCTATGTTTCTGGTGGCAAGCCCAGGTCGGCGCTTTGAGTGGCAACTCTCCCTCCCCAGAGCCTAGTAGACCTCCTTAGAATTTCCTCTGGTCCCACACACCCGGGCCTGAGATGACTGCTTCCCCCTCTGCGTTAGTTCTGGCTCCAGCCATTACCTTCCCTTGCCGGAGAGCCAGCCGCCGGGTTCCCCCAGCACAGCGGGCGATCAGGTAACACAGAGTGAGCATGGGGGCTGCCAGCCCCTGCCCAGAACACCTCCTGCAGGGAGCCCACTGTGGACGCAGGAGCCGGTGACTCTGCACTGGTGCTGGAATGTTCTGGGCACCATGTTCCCGAGGAGGTGAGAAGGGCATGGGTAGGAGGGGCTGCCGCTGGCCCTTGTGTGGAGCCTTGTTCTCAGTGCCCCAGGAGGGGCTTACAACACAATGGCCGCCAAAGCCGCTCCCTGGGTTCCCATCCCCACCCCCACAAACTCGAGGCTCTGGCCTCCAGGTCCCCTAGGAAGGGAATTCTCCTTGATTGTCCAGCCTGTGGTCAGGAGACTGTCCCCTGGGGTAGGGGCACCAGGGCAGTGCAGACCTGCAGCTTCTGGGAGCCACCACACTGCCTTTCAAGTACTCAACTCCCCTGTTTGGCTGGGGGCCTGTGTTACAAGGGGGTAACAGCATTTGGTGCAGGTTACCCAGTAGGAGGTGCCCCCAATATACAAGCCCTCCTTCCACCCTGACCTCTGCAGTGTGGAAACCCCACCTCCTGACCAGTCTGCCTCCCAGCGTGGGTGCGGGAATGCCAATGGCTCTGGCCAGGCCTCAGTGTGCTGACAGGCAAGGCTGTAGCCCTCACAGGCCGGGGTGGCCCTGACTCTGGGGGTCAGCTTTGTGCTTTCTGTCCTGTCTTTCTTGTTGAGAGCCACAGGGTGACAGGTGAGGCCACAGAGCTGGAAAGATGAAGGATGCCCCTGGGCCTCTGTCGCTGGAGTGGAGGCTCAGGTGTGGCGTCTAGCTGAGGAGTCTAGTCCTGGGCTGAGGAGTCTAGTCCTGGGCTGAGGAGTCTAGTCCTGGGCGGAGGAGTCTAGTCCTGGGCTGAGGAGTCTAGTCCTGGGCTGAGGAGTCTAGTCCTGGGCAGAGGAGTCTAGTCCTGGGTTGAGGAGTCTAGTCTTGGGCGGAGGAGTCTAGTCCTGGGTTGAGGAGTCTAGTCCTGGGTTGAGGAGTCTAGTCCTGGGCGGAGGAGTCTAGTCCTGGGGAAGCCTTCAGAGGACATGCCACAGACAGGATGGTGGCTGGAGCTACAAACAGGTGCCCTTGTCTCTGGATCCTAATGGATGCCCTCTGATCAGAAGATGCCCAAGTTAGGGAGCTTCCAGATGATGGTATGGGTGCTGCGAAAGGGTGTCTGTGTGGCTTTGCTTTCTCTGTGACTCACTCAGGGTCTCTTAGCTGCCAGAGAGAGCACTCTTGAGAGCCCTTAAAGACTCCTTATGGTCATTTCAGCCTCCCTGGACACAGACAGACCTGAATGCTGGAATGGGACAGTGTGGGGCCATGTCTACAAAGGGGGGGTCCCTAAATGGAGGACAGGGGATAGGGTCCCAGGAGCCCCCAGAAGAGTGACTGTGGAATACCAGACGAGAGGCTCAGTGGGTCCCAGGGAAGCCCCTGGATGAAAGGCAGCCGGGTGGTGGGTGGGTCCTGTGCCCTCCTCACCTTGAACCCAATGCCGCCCTTCTTGCAGCACAGGCAGGCCAGCATGAGGACGATGACAGTGAAGAGCCCCGAGAAGGACACAGCGACCACCGCAAGAGACGATGACCAGGACAGCTCACTGAGTGGGGCACCGTCTGCAGGGAAGTAGAACACACGCCTCCTTTCAGCTCAGCACGTGGCCCCGTGCTCCGACCCTGCACCTGGACACGGCCTCAAACTAAGGGACTGAGGAATGGCCTTGTTGGCCAGAGCCTACTGTCTTAGCAAAGTGGCCAGGGTAGGCTCAGCTCCCAGTTCCAAGGCTCATGGACACCTCTCTGCTATATCAGGGTCTTGGGCCATAGAAAGACTCACTGTTGGGGCTGGAGAGATGGCTCAGCATTTAAGAGCGCTGACTGCTCTTCCAGAGGACCTGGGTTCAGTACCCTAGTCACCTACATGGTGGCTCAGAACCACCCCAACTCCAGTCCCAGGGGATCCAACACTCCATCTGGACTCCACTGGCAGCAGGCACACACATGGTACACAGACATGCATTCAGGCAGAAACATCTGCACACACAAAAATTTTATGTAAAAAAATAAGATCTGCACTCATGTGCAGATCCCCGCTCCACCACTCGGCCCACTTTGGGGCTGAAGGACACCAAGGGCCCAGGCATGCAAGGAGATCAAGGAGCTGGTTCTCAAAGGTGCAGGGATCCTGCTAACACCGAGAGTGTCCCTGCTCAGCAGGGTAGTAGAGCACCCCGTATGCAGACCTCTGCTTGTCCCTCAAGTCCCTTGGTTCTGGTTCCAACTAGAGGAGCCTTCTTTACCCCTGATCCCAATAAACCACCACATTTCAGATGGGGAAACCGAGGTGTTTAGGACAGCAGAACACGACCCCCCAACTCCTCCCTGTTGGGCTCCCAAACTGGGGCTCCTTAGCAGACTATGGCAGGGGATTGCCAGCTGTGGTGACCACAGCTGGCTTCTGGGGCCAGCCCATTGTGCCCGTTGGACGGGAAGGCATATGCTTGGGAAGAGCTCTGCCTCCTGGGCCCGCCCTTCCTTGCCACATGGACTTTGAGTCACCCTCTGTCCCCAGAGACCTTCTCTATCCATGGGTTCTCATTAAATCCTTAACACTTGGGGGAACCAAGACTCAGCAAAGGGGAGGGCTCTCTGCTTCTGCCAGGGATTCGGTGGATTGACAAGGCATCTGGGAGGGGCTGCCTGGAGGAAGAGCGAACCTGAAGGCCAAGAGGCCTACAGACACAGGCTAGAACTTCTACTTGGGAGCCTGTGAGTATTTCCCACTCTACACCCAGAGATAAGAGAGTCCTTGTGAACTGGAATAGAGGCCAGGCAGGGCTAAGGAACAAGGGGACAGGGGCAGCCCCCAAAGCAGAGTGTGGTAACAACATGGCAGGGTAAAAAGTAGCTAAAAATCCACAGAAGGCAGCCACTTTCATGAGACCAGTTCCACATCCTCAAACAATGCCCTTCCAGTGGCCTTAACATTCAGGGTCTCTGGGCATTCCTGCGTGTGTGTGCCTTGAACATGTGTGTGCCTTGTATACATGTGGCCCTGTATGTATGTATGTGACCTACCCCATACCACGCAATCAGCACTGTGTGCTCTCACCTGAGTATCACATGAGCATAAGTGTAGAATCCACAACAGGGGGGACACATGAGTGAGCGTGCTGTGCACCCTTCTGAGGACTATGCCGTTGCCATGGTGAGCCATCTCTCCTCTCTCCATCTGGTGCTGCTATGGTACCAGTACGCTCCCCTCCCACACCCACTGCATTCATGGGTCCACCGATGGCCCCGAGGCCTGGGGCTGGTCTAGTCTTCAAAGGCACATCTGGTATCTCAGCTCGCCCCCTGCTAACTCGTGGGCATATGTCAGGTAGAAGCAGCCTTGGAAGGGGTTAAGCTCAACTTCCATTGCAACTTTGCCCTGGCCCCGCATCAGGGCCACTGGCCTTTCTGTGGGTCCCTTCTGACCTCCAACAGGTCAGGGCCACAGAGGGTTGTTGCAATGTGCTGGCTGTTAAGAAGCACTCGGTGGGCATGCGTGGGTGGCATGGAGGCCCTTATGCACTAGATAAGCACCAGGGGAACTAGAACGTTCCTTCAAAGAAAGGAATGCATAACCCCGCAGCTGGCACCCAGTGTGGGGCTCAGCTCTCAGAGAAGGTAGGAAAATTTGTCTTTAAATAAAAGCAGGGGGTAGGAGTTCAGTCTCTCACCCAAGGAGTCGGGGACAGTGAGAGTCAAATAGCATGATTTCTTCTCAATCCTTGAGGCGAAGCATTTTATACAATTACTGAGATGTTCGTTAAGACCCAAAGGAGGAAGCGCTCAGAGCCAAAGTTCGCGGCTCTGTGAAGAAGTGACTGTGAATTCAGCCCCTGTCTTCTCCACAAGGACACACTGGTGTTGAAACCGGAAATACGTGGGTACTGAGGCACAAACAGCCATGAAACGAGGGACAAAATCAGTCAGGTGTGGGGGTGATGCACGCCTTTAATCCCAGCATTAGGGAGGCAGAGGCAGGTGGATCTCTGTGTGTTGGAGATCAGCCTGGTCTGCAGAGCCAGCTACAGGCAGGATAACTAAAGCTACACAGAGAAACTCTGTATTGGAAAAAAAAAGGGGGGGTGTCAAATTCCTATCAATTATTTTGCAAGATGGGCTACAGTAATGTCGTACTTGATCAAGCCCTCTCAGGAAGATCATAAAAGAAAATGTCCCTGCCGTACCCATTTTGGCAAGCCTTGGCAGGGCGGGGAGCTCAGAGCCCTCCAGCCACGTGCTCATGGGGAGGCACTGTTCTGCCAACTCTGCTTCTTCTAATCCAAGAGGCAGAAATGGGTCTTCAAAAACCAAATTCCGCTATCTGTTTAAATTCAGGTGGCAGTTTATTTGGGTGTACTGAGGAGGACAGAATCTTCCAGTCATGATGGGTAACTTTGAGCCCCAGTGTGCATATCCTCACCCATAATGAGTGAGGCTCCACATGAACTGACTTCACATATGAATTAGCACACGAAGAACAGAAAGGCATGGAGAATGGAATATTGCAGTAGGCTGTGGATGTGGAGAGGTGGAGTGGGGGGATGGAAACATTTGGGATGAGGCCCTCGAGAACGGAGTCCAGCAAACGGAAGTAGGAGCGTGTGGGACGTGAGTAACTTGCAGATAGGAACAGAAGAAAGGTTCAGCATCTCTGCAAATGAATCCTGCCCTAAAACTGGCAGAATTTTGTTGATTCTGAAGTTTTCACCTAAGCTTATTTATGGTATGGCCTGAGACTCTATCGCATCAGACTGTGAAGTGTAGTAAAACCAGAACCTTCCAGCGAGTCCTTTCCTCCATGGAGCTATTACACTTTGATAAAGTCCACGATTTTGTTTCGTTTAGCTGGTACACACAATTGTTTTCTCCTTCAGGTTTTTCTGTGATTCTTTCTCGGGTTCTTCTAAGTGTCCTGGTACCTAGTAGGAGAGTCTTCTAAAGCTCAGAATTAACATTGCCCTGAATTTGGAAGATCCCAGATCCCAAGTAAACAGCCTTAGGTTTAAACCTTTAGATGTTAACGACCATTGTGAACTTTAAAAGTTTGTCTGCTTTTTAGTTTCGTGCTTGCCGTGGGTCTGACAAAAGCGATCAGACTCTGGCAGAAGTTAGAGGGGGCTCAGGAGGGCCTGGCCTCTCCTGAAGGACATTTTACACAGTATCCCAGCTCTAGTGCGTAATTAGTGATCCTCACACCAGCTCGACATCGGGAGCCAGGGTGGGTGCGACTGGGGCCTTCTCTGCCGTCAGGTATGTAGAGACACGTGACGCAGTACACTGTAAACACGCACGGTGCTGCTTCCTAACCAGTCAGCTGCAGAGTGTGGCCCCAAGCATGACGTGGAACCCTGGTTGGGGGTGAGGGGCTCCAGGAAAATGTCATTGTGTCGTATCTGGAATCTGACTTTGTCAAACAGCTCTTTATGCGTTCCCTTTCTAGGACCCCCCCCCATTACAACTAAAAGCTGACAATGGCCCTATGTCTCTGAGGACGACTTAGAGAATTTTGCAATTATGGAATATTAATTATGTTCCTGAAATTCCTTACAATCCACAGGGTCAAGCTATTGTGGAACACCACCGTCCAAAACTTAAACAGGATTTTAGAAATAAAAAGGGGTATAGATGCCACCTAAATCACCACAGGCTAGGCTACGTCTAGCCAGGCCAACTTTAACGAATAACATTTCTTCTACTGCCCCAAAGCATTTTGCCCTAAAGGAGACACAGCCAAACACGCATGTTAAATGGACAGACCTGGGAACTAATCAGTGGAAAAGGCCTGATGCTCTAATATCCGAGTGAGGGTATGTTTGGCTTTCTCCAGAAAATGAGCTCAGTTTCAGATGTCTCCCACTCTGACGCATCGGACCAGGACGGCATCCCAGAGACCACCGCACAGACGAAGTGTCTAGAGGTACGAGGCACACCCATCAAGACGAGATGTCCCAAGAGGAAGAGTAAGCCGGCAACTTGGGGAGAAGACAAGGACACAGTACTGCTGACCGAGAAACGACGCTGTTACGTTTACTGACTACGTTACATGCTAATTCTCAACTTGTCAATGCAGAATCCAAATGTGTTGGGGGGGGTGGAGATAAGAGCCACACCTTTTATAATAGGCAATAAGAGACAGTATGGATGTAGGAGTCCCCTCTGTGTGCTGGGATTACCATTAATGAATAAAGGAACTGCTTTGGACCTATAGCAGGGCAGAGTTTAGGTAGGCGGGGAAGATGAAACTGAATGCTGGGAGGAAGAAGGGTAGAGTCAGAGAAAAGCCATAGAGTTGCCAGGGTCAGACATGCCAAAACTTTGCCAGTAAGCCACTGCCATGTGGCAATACACAGATTAATGGAGATGGGTTAAATTAATATGTAAGAGTTAGCCATTAAGAAGCTAGAGCTAATGGGCCAAGCAATGATTTAAATAATACAGTTTCTGTGTGATTATTTCTGGTCTAAGCTAGCCGGGCAGCCGGAGAGGAACAAGCAGCCCCTCCTCCAACACAGTATGCGGCTGCATTGCCATGCTAAGCACTGGTTTTCATCTCCTTGTATTAC